TTTTTTTTTTTTTTTTTTTTTTTTTTGCATTTTATTATCGTCCACAGCTCATCTGATGCCGAGGAAAAGATAAGCAAGGCAAATTAGCCTGTGCCGAAGACAGGCATTTCCTCTTTCTGACCCCACAGAGCGTCCAGCAGAGAACGATGCCCCAGTTAGCAAAAGTAACTGGCTCCAGTGCTGGGTTACAGACTGTGACAGGCAGGACAGTCTGGGTGGGACACGGGTAGCATGTCCGCTTGGCGTCTGGGGGAGCTTTCGAAGTACTCGCTCCTGAGTCACCAGACGGCTCCATTACAGGATTTGTTTGAACTTGCTCGCTGGTTTGCAGGCACCCCATTCTTCACAAAGGGATTTGAGACTCTCCTTTCCTCGAGAGCCCTCCTTCCTGCCGTGTTCAGGACATTGTGATTTGCAGATCCCATCTATCCTCAAAGCCTTCAGTGGGTGTTTGGTCTAACGCTGACCATGATCTGCGACACCCAGGCCTCTTTCCGAGCACGCAGGGACTGTGACCTGGGGCTTCTTATTTATGGAGTGCAAGTGCATAAAGGGATCAGGGAGAAAAACCTCACCAAGTTCTCACATTTTATTTTCCATGTTTGGAGACTCTGAAATATCAGAGGTTACTTGTTCTTAACCATATTGGACTAATGCATTAAGAGTTGTCGGTTCATACTGATGTGAGACTCCTGGGACTTTCATTGACAGATGGATCCCCAGAGCCTGTGAGTTTTCTTGGGCAAGATTGGCTTGTACTTGGGGGTGTTTAAAAAATATTTTTACATATGTATTTGAAGAAGGTTGGGTTTTTTTTTCTGTTTTGCTTTTGTTTTTGGAGCTTAGTTAAATGGCTGTCTCGTTTTCCTTTTGCCTGATCTGCGTAAAGTGAGGCAGGAAGAGGGGTGCACAGCTGCCTGGACACGGAGGCACAGCTACTGGCATTGGCAAGCGAGGAGTCGCTTTGGCTTGAGTGTTCCAGACGGATTAGAAAAAAACCTCCTGGCTTCTGTGGCTTTGTCCATTGGTGCCAGGCAGGTATGGAGGGTCCAGGCTCCTAGAGTTTTGTGGTTGGGTTTTTTTTTTGTTTTTGTTTTTTTCTTTCTTTTTTGAACTTTAACATATTTCGACTTTTTAAATGTTCTTAAGCGGTGTGGTGGTTGATGTTAGTTCTTGTTCCTAAAACTGGCTGTTACTAGTCTGCGACCTAGTGCTTTATTGCTTATGCCTCTCCCAGGTGGGTAGGACTCGGGGATTGTGTAATACAGTATATGGGACAGTCACATTTTTGTCTTGTGCTGAACTTGGGCAGAACTGTGTTTTATTCTAAGCATATCTTACATCAGGCACACAGACGGCACTTTTGTTGTTATGGATCTGGCGACCAGCACGATTGATAGTGCAAATCAAAGTCGAATGGAAGCAAAACTGATTTCATAGAGGTCGGGAATATATTTTAAGAAGTCCTGGGCCACCTCTGTCCAGTCCAGAAAGGTACAGGGTGCACTGTCATTTACATGTTACCAGACTAAAGGTAACGAGATCACTCTCTATGCAAAAGAAAAATGCCTCAGGTGGCTCCCGTTGGTTTTTTCAGTAATGGTGATCTTCAGACATTCCGGGGTCAAATTTGAAATATGGTAATTCAGTAATCAGTATCTCTTAAAACAGCCATAAGCCCTCCCCCCACCATTCTTTCCTGGCAGCTCACCCCAGCTTTGTTGCTGGGGGCACTGGTTGCAACCCCCCCAGCCAGTACACCTGGGATGCTCAGCCTCCCAGGCAAGTCGTCACCTGCTTGCAAAGACCCTCCCCTGACGAGAGAATGCAGTTCCCTGTCAGTCATTTCACTGAGCAAGGGGCCTCTGAACAGTTGTACTGTCTTTATTCAGCCGTCAGTCCATTTCCCTTTGGCCCAGTTCTGTCCCAGGATATCCACGGATGGCCCCGGGACCTGCTTCAACAGAACCTCTCCTTCTTTCAGAGCTCACCATCAGTAAATAGGTCCACACACAGTGACAAGTTTCTTAGTTGGAGACGTCATTGCAGCCTGACTTGGGGGTTTGACCCTCAGACAGCTGTCGGTTATGGTGACCAACGTCCCCCAGCCCCAGTGCCCTTCCCAAGGTTGTCCCCAAAGGACCAGCCTCCCGCCCAGAAATGGAGAACCAGCTCCGTTTCGTTTCCTATTTATTTCCCAAATACCCTGGGAAGCATTGGCAAATTAGGTGCAATAAATAAGCTGGACTATAGAAAGATACGTAATAAATAAGCTTTCAGTGTTTCTTGGAAGGTATGGAGCATTTGAATGGGTTTCTTTTCTCTTTCTTTTTTTAAGTATTCTTATGGTAGGGGAACTGGTGAGAAATTAGGGGAGTTTACGTAGTTCTCCAGAAATTAAAACCATTTCAGAGTCAAGGTAGAATTTATTTTTCCTCTAAGATTTAATTTTAACTGTGGCAAAACATTACTCTTTTCAACGTTTTTTTAAAGGTGTAAATTGTGAACTGCTAAAAGAATGTTTTTGTGGTTTTGATCCTTGCATATAATTTGCATTTTAAAAACAAGCATTGCTTGTAGTCACTTGGATGTTAAATGGGTTGTATATTATGTTTATAAACCAAAAAAGCGTCAGCTCATTTTTTAAAAGTGCCCTGTTTTCTGGGCTCTTCCCTCTCTGTGAAGTGAACGAAAACCTTGAGTGTCGTCCACCTGTTTCCTCCTGTAAAATTCCTCCCCTGGATTCGTGGCCCTCTGCTCTGGGAGGCGCCCATCACTGATACTGGGAGTAAAAAGTCATGAGCATAATGGGACCTTACAGGGTCCTGGGAGACTTTCTGGCAGGTTCTGTGCACTTTCTGACCGGGAAGTTCGGCTGTGGTTACACGTGCCTTTGCCTTGCCATGGTCGTCAAGCTCGTCGGCCCAAGTTGTAAAGCTGTGAATGTTTTTGCAGTTTGGGTGATCTGATCCCAGAGACCTCTGGACCCGTGAGGACCCCCAGGAGGGCAGCTGCGATGACTGTGGCTCACTTTTACTTCAGTGTGAATGTAAAATGGAAGGCTTGTCTTCATTCGATGCCTAAAAGTGCCTTGTCGTGAAACGTCTGCATGTTTTAAAAAAATAAATATTTTTGTACACAAAGTTAAAGGGGGGATGCACTTTAAAATCACAAGAATGGGTGTCTTTTGTGTGGTGTAAGAGAGTAGGTTGTCTGTATCTCAAATGCGAAAATATAATAAAGGTAGAAAAAACAAAACTGAAACTGTTCTATTTTAAAACTGACTCTATTCTGGGAGTCAGTTAGAGGCTGAGAATTTTTTTTATGATTTTCTTTTCTTTCTTTCTTTCTTCCTTTCTTCCTTCCTTCCTTCCTTCCTTCCTTCCTTCCTTCCTTCCTTTCAAGTTCTATGCCCAACGTGGGTCTTGAACTCAAAACCCCAAGAGCGAGAGTTGCACACTCTACCAACTGAGCCAGCCAGGCACCCCTGGGGAGAATTATTTTCAATCTGTATGTTTCGACATACAGAATATAGGTTTCCAGAGGGATGGACTGCAATCAGCGGCTGAGTTGAAAAGCTGTGAGACACACAGGAAGGGTGGTAAGGGTGGTAATTGCTTTTGAAGTTGTCACAGCAGTGAAAGCTGGTCATAGTGACAGAAATAAGTGCTAGGGAAGAAGCACAGGGCCAGTGTTGTTCGGAACCCATTTTTACTGATCTGAGGGCATGTCTCCTACCCTCTCATTTGCTCTTGAAGCATATTTTTGGTTTTACTGTTTTTTTTTTTTAATGTGTGGGGTTTTTTTGTTTGTTTTGTTTTGAGAGAGAGAGCACACAGGGCAGGGGCAGAGAGAGAGGGAGACACAGGATCTGAAGCGGGCTCTGCACAGACAGCAGAGAGCCCAATGTGGGGCTCGAACTCACAAAGTATGAGATCATGACCTGAGCCGAAGTTGGATGCTTAACCAACTGAGCCATCCAGGCGCCCCTTTGGTTTACTGTTTTTAAAGGTGGAAAAACTGTAAATGCCCATGGTAGCTTGTAACTACTTACTCAAACTATAACCAGCAAAACGGACCAGCTCCTGGTGGGACCTCTTCTCCTTTGGGTGTCAGACATTCGCCCTAAGTAAGATTTCCAGGGACGTTTTGGGGTGCCTGGGTGGCTCAGTTGGTTAAGCATCTGACTTCAGCTCAGGTCATGATCTCACAGCTTGTGAGTTCAAGCCCCACGTCGGGCTCTGTGCTGACGGCTTAGAGCCTGGAGCTGCTTTGGATTCTGGGTGTGTGCGTCTCTCTCTCTGCCCCTCCCTGCTCGCATTCTGTCTCTCTCTCAAATATAAATGATAAAACATTAAAAAAAAAAAAAGATTTCTAGGGACATTTTATTTCAAAGTTCAGAAGATGGGACAGAGGGAGAGGCAAATTGTTGCCAGATGTTTCCTGTAACTCGGGCTGTGCCGCACTGCAGAAGGCAGTGGGGTTCTGCAGTGGGGAGGTAGAGCCTGTTAAACCTCAGAACCTAGTAAATAAACGCAAAAAAGGACCTACACACATAACTGCCTTCCTCAAGACTGCCAGGCACTGCCCACAATTGGCCTTCGCAGAAATGGGCAGGGGGAGGAAAGTAACAGTGGTTTCTATCAATGTCTATTTGAGATTCAGTATGGTTTGCATAATCCTTAAAGAAGTCTAACTTAGGAGACAGACAGCTCCGAGATGGCTGGAGGAAATTAACAACAACAGAACAAAACACTCTTCTAGGGCAGTGTCCCCAGAATAGCAAACACCCAGTCCTGAATTACTCTGAACATTTACTGCTTATCTATCATGTGCAAGGTGGTGCTAGATGCTGCTTCTACCCAAACCCTGTAAGAGACATTCATGTTCAAGGTGAATCCTCTCATAGCCAAGAAAAGCCGTGGGTTATGCTGTGTGTCAGTATTAGGATTCGAGAAGCCTGGGCTCTGGCCTTGACTCTGCCGTCCCCCTGTCATGTGCTCTCCTGAAGGGGCTCTGAGTGTTTCCAGCAGGGATAAGGTTAAGGATAACGATACTGAGTACTTAGGAGCCAGCCAACACGTTCTTTTGAAAAATGCTCCTAAATATAAACTTGTGAGAAATACCATGTATGCTGCCTACATTCTTCATAAGAATCACAGGAACGAATAGCATTCCAGACAACAGCTTGGACTTCATAACACCCGTGTTCAAGCTGAAGAGACACCAGCTCGTTTTCATGGGTAAAAGGTATGAAGGCCCTGGGTGTGTTTCCTAAAGTCACATACCCACTCAGTGGTAACGCCATGGATGACCACATGGGTCCTTTATTCTTTTTCCAAGAATTCTCCCCGTAACACTAGAGTCACTCTCACAGAACTGAGACTAGAGGTCATTCTGAAAAGAAGTCCCTCAGATTGGAGAGATGCAGAAAACTGGGGAGGAGTGAACACGTCTTTAGATGCAAATGGCATGTCCCTCCCAAAGGCTTCCTCAGCACCCACGAGGCCCACAGGCCACGAGCAAGCATAAATGCAAACAGCACGTGATTTGAGTATCCAAGGGCCCAAGTGGGTGTGATCGGTGGCAAGAAACCACCAAAGGGGTGTGTGGCTATGGAGGCGCTGTCGCTGACGGGCAGGACTGGCGGCCTCAGCATTGACTTCCACCGGAGTGGAAGCCATGTGGTAGCACAGCAAGGCTCTAACCCTCCTTCCCCTCCCTTTGCCATTAGGAGCCTTGGCGAGGAGAGAGAGAGGGAATCTCCATGGTGGTCTATGTCCACATGGGATTCTCTGGTAGGTGACATGTTCAGTTGGCATCATTCCCAAACTTACCGATGTGTCTCCGTAGCATCAGGCCCTCCGCTGGACTCGAACTTGGCAGCAGTAAGATGAGGAGGCATGACGGTCATTTTCCTTGGGGTCGAAAACGTTAACAATGATCCAGGATCCTGGCCCTTCACCGCCAACTGCAAGACGAGAAGGTTAGAGCAGGGGCTGGGCCACCTTTTTCTGGAATTGGCCAGGGAGTGACGATTTTAGGCGTTTTGGGCTGCATGCAGCCTCTATCACATATTCTTCCAAAACAAAAACAAAAAACAAAACTTTACAAATGTAAGAGCCATTCTGAGCTGCGGGCCCGTACAGTAATACGGAATCAGGCCAAGGGCTAGACTCGAACTGCTGGCTGTAGTTTGCTGGCCCTGACAGAAGAGCCCCCGAGGGAGAGTGAGGCTTCAGAGTGGACACACAGACCCAGGGCTGAGGCCTGGAGTCCACTTCTCCATGTGTTCACTTAGAGACCATATAGTTTATGGCCCAAATGGGAATGCTTTTAAGAAGGAGCAGAGGTGGGGCACCTGGGTGGCTCAGTCAGTTAAGTGTCTGACTTCGGCTCAGATCACGATCTCACAGCTTGTGAGTCTGAGCCCCACATCGGGCTCTTTGCTGACAGCTCAGAGCCTGGAGCCTGCTTCAGATTCTGTGTCTCCCTCTCTCTCTGCCCCTCCCCTGCTCACACTCTGTCTTTCTCTCTCAAAAAATAGATAAATATTAAAAAAAAAAAAAAGGAGCAGAGGTGCTATGAATTATCATGGAGCACTCAGCATGAGTGGGGAGCAAGCCCCGGCAAACCCTGGAGTGAGCCCTGACAGTGCTCACCTGGCCTGGGCCTGGGGATCTTCTCAGACCTTTGGGGAGCTCAGAAAACCCAGCCGTGGGCTCAAATCAGTTCTGGCTGGATAGTGCTTTTTTTTTTTTTTGGATGGGTTACAACAGAGTGGTGATTTTGTCTGTGGTTTAGATGTGTTTTTGTTGGTTGGGTTTTCTGTTTCCTAATTGTAGCGCTGAGGGCCAAAAGCCCTCTGGAAACTCCAGTCAATCCAAAGAGGAAAGGGGTTATTCACGGTTTGGACTTCTGTCTTACTACCTCTCTCTCCCCTCCCCGTCGTCCCCACCAAATAGGGCATGACAGACTCCCTGAGAAACTGGTTTACCGTGACAGAGACAGAGGCTGAATCTAGCAGTCATGCAAGCCCTGGTCCCCAGAAAGTAACACAGAAGTGCTCCTGGGAATTTTGCCAACGACATGGTCTCAGCTCATCTTTCTCTGGCCCATAAAGTTCAAGAGGCCTTAAGAAGCACAGAAATGAAGGAGGTGGAAATTCATCTCCAAAGCATCCTGGGCCTCCCGTCCTGCTGGCCCACATGATCTTTCTTTTAAATCTGTCACCTCCTCCTGCTGGTGTTGACCTTTAGCCAGAACTGAAGGAAGGTCTGCTGAGAAAACCTTCATGTTAGTGCTGTGGGGACTTGGAAAGGTTTCTACAAAGCCCCAGTATACCCAAAGGGAACTAGTGGGGGGGCGGTGAGGCTTTCCAGGGTTCACCCCTCTTTCAGAGAAAGTAGGGACACCACACATCACAACCTGTGCTGTTACAGTTGATGAGAAAGAGAAATGACTTACTTCTTCCACCGGGGCCACCTCCAGGGCCACCTAGTTAATTGCCCTTTGGGAGACACCTTGGTCCCATTTGAAGGTGGAGCTAGCTAGGTGACATTTCACTCATCCTACTATCATACCATGTTATTAAAAAAGTATTGTATTATTAATCATTTCCCATTAATCCATGATCGAAACACTGAAACACCCCCCCAAATATTTTCGTAAATTTTTTGTGCAGACTGTTTTGCACATTTGCTCATGTGACAAAGCATTTGTTCATTTGAATTCTCCAGTAGCTTTTCCATCAGCTGATCAATCACCTCTCCACCTTGAATCCTCATGCTTTATATTACTCATGCATAATTATTACACACACACACACACACACACACACACACACACACACACTCTGAAAAGAAAAATCAAAGAAAAAATATTTTCTGTCCAAAAATGCCTTTCGCACCAGCTCATTTCTCTGTTCTCACAAGGGGAGTTTCTGCCCCAAAGCTTCAGGAGAGGCGTTCTTGGTTCTGGCCAGGACTGAGGGCAGCACTGAATGAATTCCACTGCCTGCAGTAGCCAGATCAAGAAAGGAAAGCATTTGACACAAGGCGTTGGTTCTTCTCCCCCTCCCAGCATCCCTCACTCCTCATCTGCTCAGTGTCCCTGCTATCTCCCCAGACAGGGAATGCGGAGAGGCTCCAGCCCTGAGGAACAGCCACCTCAGTCAGGAGCCCTGGCGCTTTTCAAATGTATAACGAAGCATTGAAATCTGTTCTTAAGCCAAATATTATGGGAATGCAATTTACAAAATAGATGGAAAAGGAGCTGCCCAAGGTGGAAATTGCCAGAAGCAGGGAACCATGCCCATATCCCCTCCCTGGACTCCTGGGGCACTTCCTAAGAGCCCTGTGGCCCAGAAATAAAGGGTGAGAAACTTTTCCTGAGAGCGCAGAAGTTATAAGCCTCCTGCTTCCTATGCTAGTGAATGTAGTTCAAGGATATCCTGTAAAAGAAAACAAAAGCAAGCTGACAAACAAAATTTCTATGGGAGCAAAACACAACAATTTAACCCCATATTCTGCAAAAGGGCTTGGTTATGTTTTGGTTATGCTATCAGAGATAATTATTATCCTCCTTCACACACAAAAAAATCACTGTCTTGTTCACAAGAACCTCATTGGAGTTGCCTTTTCTTGTAGGTATGTGTCTCACATTTACATACAAAAATTAAACTTCCTGACAAGGCAACTTCTACTCCATACACAAAACAAAATTACTGAGCGCTTCTTTATTTTTTCTTAAAAAAAATTTTTTTTAACACTTACTCATTTTTGAGAGACAGAGAGAGACAGAGCATGAGCAGGGGAGGGGCAGAGAGAGATGGAGCACAGAATCCGAAGCAGGCTCCAGGCTCTGAGCTATCAGCACAGAGTGACACAGGGCTCGAACTCACTGACCATGAGATCATGACCTGAGCTGAAGTTGGACACTTAACCGAGTCACCCAGGCGCCCCCAAAATTACTGAGCACTTCTGTGGGCAAGGCTGTAGTTGGGGCCAAGTGCTCTGGGGAATCTAGAAAGAAAAAGACAGAACATTGTCACCAAGTCCCTCCCATGGTGATGTTAGCCTTTTCTTCTCCTAAATGGCATATGTTTTTACTACATTTACTTGCATCAAACTAAGCCCAGACAGAAAGCACTAAAGTTTCTTTTTTTAAAAAAATTAAATTTGTTATTTTGAGATCATTGTAGATTCACATGCAATTTTAAGAACTAGTGAGAGCCAGGGTACTGTTTACCAAAATTCCCCCAATGGTAACATCTGGTATAAGTATAATACAACGTCACAATCAGAATGCTGACATTGATGTGGTCAAGACGTAGAACATATCTTCCATCACAAAGGCCTCTTATGTCGTCCTTTTATAGGCACACCGCCTTGCTCCCTCTTCTCCCCATCCGCTCCCCCACCCCCATCCCGCTGGGGCCTTGACCTCTGGCAACCACAAATCTGGCGTCCATCATTTATAATTTTGTACTTTTGAGAATGTTATAAAAATGGAATCATATGGTATGTAACCTCTGGGGATTGGCTTCCACTCTACATACTTCCCAGAAGATCCATCCCAACTTGTTCCATGTATCAATTTGTTACTTTTTATTGCTGAGTATTCCATGGTATAGACATTCCAGTTTGCTGAACAATTAATACATTGAAGAGCACTGAGTTGCTTCTGGTTTAGGGCGATTCCAAATAAACCTGTTAGGAACATTCATGTGCAGATTTCTTACCTGAACGTAAGTTTTTGTTTATCTGGGATGATGGCCCAAGAGTGTGAAATTGCAGGGTGATATGGTAGCACCATGTTTCACCTTGTAAGAAACTGACAAACGGTTCTCCAGAGTGGCTGTACCATTTTGCAATCCCACCAGCAATGTACACAATTTTTCCACATCCTCATCATCTTATGGGGGCATCACAATTTTTTATTTTAGCCATTCTGAGAGGCGTATAGTGCTAACTCATGTGCTTTTAGTCCGCACTGCCCTAATGGCTAATTAAGGTGGACGCCCTTTCATAGATGGCTCTGTTCCCATCTATGTACCTTCTATGGTGAAATGTCCATTCATATCTTTTGCCCTTTTTCTAATTGGATTGTTCAGAGACTTTTGTTTTTTGTTTCTTAACTGATGAGTGTTGAGAATTCTTTGTATATTCCAGATATAAGCCCTTTGTCAGATGTGTAGCTTGAACATATTATCTCTTCATCAATAGCTTCCCTTTGCATCCTTTTCACATGGACTTTCTCAGAGCAAAAAAAAAAACAAAACAAAACTTTTTATCAGTTATGGGATGCTTTTATGTCAAGTCTGAGAATTCTCTGCCTAGCCCTAAATCCCAAAGACTTTCCCCCATATTTTCTTCTAAAAGTTTTATAGTTTCACGTTTTAAATTTAAATATATGATTCATTTTGAGTTAATTTTTGTATAAGGTGAGAGGCTTGGGAGCAGGCTCATTCTTCTCGTCACAGAAATCCACTTGCTTCAGCACCTTTTGTGGAAAATTTCCTCCCTCCATGGGATTGCTCTTGTATCTTGGCCCAAAGGCAGCTGGGTGTGTTTGCGGGGGTTCTCTATTCTGTTCCACTGGGGTACGCGCCTGTGCCTCTGGCAATACCACACAGCCTTAGTGACTGTGGCTTTGCAGTAAGACCTAATATCAGGTAGAGTGATTCTTGCCACTTTACTCTTCTTTTTCACAATTGTTTTAGTGATTCTAGGGATTGTCTTTTCATACAAAATTTAGAAGAATCTACGGCAGCAGCTGCTGGTAGTGTTCTGCTGTTCTTTCCTGTAATTGCAAGCACGCGCGCGTGCGCATACACACACACACACACACACACACACACACACACACACACTGAGAAAGAGAGGTCTGTATTCTAGTATCCAGAGAAAGGTCTTTGCAGTGTTATCATAGACTGCACTTTTCACTCTTAGCTTTCCTTGTCGCTTTGCC